GGCTCTGCACTCAATAGGTCGCCATGAGTCCCTGCTAAAGGCACTCCCCTTTCTCTCAGGCCCTGGCCTATCCCCACCCCGTCACAGCTACCCACCAGGTCTCATCCAAACCCCTCAGTAATCTTGGGAGTGTCCCCATTTTTCCAAGCTGGAGACCCAGGCCCAGAGAGCTAAGGGACTTGGCTCAAAGCCTCTCCGCTTCTAGGTGCTGGAGTCAAGATGGAACCAGGGTCTACACAGCCCCAAAGCACACATCCTTCAAGAAAGGGTGGAAAAAAGAGCATGGCTGAAATAAAGAACCTGAAGGCCTACAGTAGCTGCATTATGGTGGTGGGACAATAGCTGATTTTTTTCCCCCACTTGTTTTCTACAATGAAATATTCATACCGTCTCCGTGGGTGTGCGTGCCCTAGTGGGGAGAGCTCCAGCTTTGGCATCAAGCAGCCTAGGGGTCAGATACTGGCTGGCTGGGGACCCTGAGCCAGCTATTTGCTCTCTCCCAGCCTCTGCTTTCTCATCTGTACAATGGGGACAAAAAAAAAAATCCCACTTCAGATGAGCCGGTCACGCCCGGCGCACAGTAGGCACGCAGTAAGTGCCAGCCTTGGAGCACCACACCCCCGCGTTCTCGCCACCTGCCCGGCATCCAAGGGGAACTTGAGACGCCCCCACGTGCCAGACGCTGGCGCCAGGCGGGCATCGGGTCCCCCGCCCCGGGGCGGGCGCCCACCCACCCTCCTGCCTCACCCCACCGCGCCCGCGCTGCCCCCTTACCCTGGCGGCCGGAGGGCCGGCATCGGTCCCGCAGGAGAGCCCGGGCAGCGGGGCCGGGCTCCGGAGCGCGGGGCGCGAGCGCGGGCAGGGCGCGCGGGGGCGCGGGCCGCGCGCTCCGGGCCGTGCGCCCCGCGGCCGCCGCGTCCTCGCCTCCAGCGCGGGCCCCGCGCGCCCCGGCCGGCCCGGGGGCAGGCCCTGCGCAGCGCCGCGCCGGGTGGGGGCGGGCCTCGCGGGCCCTGGAGAGGCGCCCGGGCGGCGCGGGTTCCCGGCGGGCGCGGGCGGCGCCGCTGCGGTGGCCCCGCTGCTGAGTGGTGGGACGCGATTTACTGGCTGCAATTCCCGGCGCCCCTCGATGGCACTTAAGAGAGACCGGGAGGGAGCCGGGGAGAGCGGGCGGAGGGCGGGCGGGCGGAGGAGGGGCGGCGGGAGCCGTGCGCGCCGGCGGGGGAGGGGCGCAGGCGGGGGCGGGCGGGCGGGAGGTGGGGAGAGGCCCGGATGGAGGCGGCGGGCGGCCGCGGCGCGCCGGGCTGGGGTGGGGTGGGGGGGCCCTGCCTCCAGCCCCCGCCCACCCGCGCCCGGTTCCCCCCAAAGGCCGGCGCCGCCGGTGGGGGTTACACTCCACCGGTCCACTTCACCCCGACCTCCCCTTTTACTGATCCCCCACCCTCCAAGCGGCCCACCCCGCCCAGCCTCCACCCCCTCCACAGCCCCCCCAACTTCTAAGCGGCCTGCTCCACCTCCACGCCCCCACCGCTGCATCACCATCACCATCACCGCTGGAGATCAGAAACTCTTGGCCCGTGGGCCCAAGCCAGCTAAAGCCACGCTTGCTTTGACCTCACCGTATTTTTTTTTATTTTTAATTCAAATGAATTCCCATCATTTAAAAAAAAAAATCGGTCATTTGCACAGAAAAATCTACATGTCCGGCTTAGTTTGGAAAAAGAGGAGGCTCAGTCGGAAGCCTCTTCCCGAGGATGGCCGCTTGGCGGCAAGCTGGCAGGGGTCCTGGCGCGCAGCTCGCCCCACCCACCGACCCCCACCCGGTCCCTCCCAGGCCCACCTGCCTGCCCCTGGAGGCCTGTGCCTTCTCACTGTGGCACCTCGCCTTTCACACACCCTCACCCCCATGCCTCTGCAGTCCCACTCCGTAAGGAAGCCCACCCCCATCCCTTCAGGCCCCTCTTCTGAGAATCCACCTGGACCTGCACACACACACACATCCCCACCCAGTGGCCACCCAGGGCCCCCTGCCCCCGCAGCCCGAGGTGGTGGCGCCTGCCCTGCCCGGCCTGATTCCTTGCTGGCTGGCACTGGGGCCTCTGCGGCTGCGCTCTCACCACAGGGCCGCTGCGCTCTGGCTGGATCCTCCCTCCCATCCTGGCTATGGGCCTGGCCCACAGTAGGCACTCAATAAGTGTTGGCTGAGCGGCAGGCAAAGACAAACAGCCGGGCCTGGGATTCCACGAGGCCGCCTGGGCCATGGCGGGCACAGGGCACGGGTCCCTGCAGCTGATGTTCATTTTAAAAGCCCCAAATGTTCACTCAGAGCGGCTCTTGCCAACCAAGGAAACGAATGATTTCCACGCTTCATTTTTCTCCACCTTAATCCCACTGCCAAGGCTTTGGGGCCTCTGCTGCTGCCGCTGCCCTCAGGCTGGCATCAGATCCTCCCTGAAGGTGCAGTCCACTTTGGGAGTGCTCAGGATCTCAGGGAGGACCCAAGCGTGTCTCCCAGGCCCTTGTGAGGTCATGGCAGGCTTCAGGGCCACAGATCTGAGGGGAACCGCTGGCCAGTGCCCCGGGGGTGGGGACGGGGGTGGAACAGAGAGCCTTCCTGGGCTCGGGACTGCTGTGATGGCTCCCCTGGGCAAGTGTCTCAGGTACCCCTTCATCCTAATGCTTCCTGAGAAGACAGGGGGTGCCAGGCGAGAGCTACCCTGCTCCAGCCACTGGATACCCCACAGATTTTTCTAAAAAGCTGTCACAGACCCAGCCAGATACTAAGATCCCATTTTATAGAGAAGAAGCACTTCAGACAAGGTGACCTTGCTAAGGTCACCAGCTATAGGGCACTGAACCAGGAGCCTTTGTGGCCCTCCAGAATCCCCCTGTCTGTGATGAAGTGAGACCCCCCTCCCCCCCTTCAAGGCTGCATATAAAGCTAAATCTAGGAGGTGGGGCTGGTCTGTAAGGGAGGAGATGCAGGCACCTGGGTCCCAGAGCTGGTTCTGGGCAGTCCTCCCTTCCAGAGCCTTGCACACCTGAGCAAATGTATCTGGTCTCTATTCCCAGCTCCTCAACCACCCCCTGCCCATGATGGCCTGACCAGGTGCCCTTTCAGTGCAGACACCAGGCAGCAGGCCTGGCTTAACAGCCAGCAACTATGAACAAGCCAGAAACACCTTCCTGGGCCTCAGTAGGCCTATCTGCAACATGGGGGAACAGCCCAGCTTCTGTGGGCTTTGGGGGCACAGAAACAAGATGGCAAGTAAGGAAGAGGGAGAACCAGGAGGTTTAAGGCCTTAGGTGAGCTGGTCTGAGTTTGCATCCTAACTTCCCAACGTCCCCACTGTGATTCACCCACTCAGGGCCTCAGTCTCTTTCTCTGCACAAAGTGTAGGAGCAGATCATAAGACAATCAACTGACTTAAGAGACTGTAATGCGACTGACATGGGACAATGCATGTAGAACCACTCAGCACAGCCTGGCAGTCATAAGGTTTGAGACTTGTGACCTTGACTGGGAAGACAGAACGGTTAAAAGCATGAGCCCTGGAGGGTTCACATCCTAGCTCCACTGTACCAGCTGTGTGACCTTAGGCAAGTTACATAGCCTTCCTGGGCCTCAGTTTCCTTGTCTGTAAAATAGGGATATGAATGACAGTTCCCACACTATTTGACTGTGCTGTAGATTAAAGTAGATAACTCAGGTTTGATGTTTAGACCAGTACCTGGCACCAGGAACGCTCAAGACAGCTCACTGCTCACTACTCTCAAGATTAATAAAGCCAGCCAGTCCCAAATTCAAGGTCCAGGGCAGCCCCTTGACCTGGGAGCCTCAAGACTGCCTAGCCTACAGGCCTTGGTGAAAGTGAAAGCATCAGTCGCTCAGTCGTGTCTGCCTCTTTGTGACCCCATGGACTATAGCCCACCAGGCTCCTGTCTATGGAATTCTCCAGGTGAAGCTACTGGAGTGGGTAGCCATTCCCTTCTCTGGGGGATCTTCCTGACCCAGGCATCAAGCCAGGGTCTCCTGCACTACAGACAGATCCTTTACTGCCTTGAGCCACCATGGAAGCCCACGGGCCTTGGTAGCAGTGACCAGTGACTGGTGGAGGGCGGACTGAGTCCCTCAAGGTCTAGGATTATCCTGGAGGTCCCAGAGAGAGAGCCACCGGGAGAAAGGGGTGAGCGAGGCTTACAGGGGCCTTCTCTCACCCCCTGACTTCAGTACTTCCTGGTTCTCCCATCTCACTGTCTCTGCAGTAATGGTCAGTATTTTAAATCGTCTTGGATGGTCTGTCTTTGCCGTGCCTGCACATAAACTGTGTGAGGGTGGGAATTTTGGTCTGTCTTGATCCTTGCTCTATGTGCTCTGGGTCAGAGTAGGTGCTCAACAAACAGCGGCCACTGGAAAAGAATGATCAGATGACAACGTTTAGCGAGAAGAGTGGGATGGCGGAGCTCGCTTCCCAGAAGACAGCCCAGCCTGGCTGCTGTCCCTTCTTAGCTCAGTTCCACTCCCGCCCCCCACCAGCCTTGGGGGTTCGGGAAGCCAGAGTCCTCCCCGGGAAGCGTGTCCCTGTCACTGCAGTGCAACCAAGCCTCTGGGGTGAGGGAGGGACCCAGGCAATTTTCTGGCTCAGGGCTCATTTCAGAGCTGCCTGCTGACACAGAAAGGCCTGCAGGCTCATGAAGGCCCAGTTCCAGCAGAAGTAGCCCTGCACTCCCGCCCTAGAGCCCCGCGGGGCTTCTCCAGCCCCGCCCCCGGGGGACTGGAGGGGTTTCCCCCGCTGAGTCCCAGGATGTCCTCTGGGGGCTGGGCTGCCGCCCCCTCCCCAGCCACAGTCCCCTCACGTGTGCACGGCACTCCCCCGTTACAGTTTACAAAGTGCGTTCACAGACATTATCACATCGGCTCCTAAACGCCCCCTAAAAACCACAATAAATCTCTCGCTCTGGCTCCCGAGCCGAGCCCACCGGCTGCCGCGTAGCAGAGGGCCTCAGGGCACAGAGCCTGCCAAGGCGGACGCCAGCCGGGGCAGAGGGGGTTCCACGTGGGCGGGTGGCAGGTGGTGGGTGGCGGGCCCAGCTGGGGCGCTGAGGAGCGGGCGGGGAGGAAGCCCGAGGGCCAACCCTGCAAAGAAGGGAGGAAAAAGAACCCGGCTTGTCTGGGAGAGCAGCCAGCAGGGCTGGAGGGGAGAGGTCTGGGAACCAGACTGAGGGGCGGGGCAAAGGTTAGGGAGGGGCGCGGAGGGTTCCTTAGCACTTCAGACGGCCTCGGGAGGAGGTGGCTCGTGTCTAGGCACCAGGGGCCCGGGGATAGTCCGTCTCCGCTGGCTTTTGGCTTTCCACCTGCTTCCCTCCACCCGCCAAACAAGAGCCCTGACCAGTCAGTTCCCCGGTGCGCTGCCTGAATGCCTTCACTGCCTTTTTGCAATCCTAACCCTCCTGATGCTAGGGAATGTTGAAGGCAGGAGGAGAAGGGGACAACAGAGAATGAGATGGTTGGATGGCATCACTGACTCGATGGACAGGAGTCTGAGTAAACTCCAGGAGTTGGTGATGGACAGGGAGGCCTGGCGTGCTGCAGTCCATGGGGTCGCAAAGAGTCAGACACGACTGAGCGTGGACTGAACTGAACCCTCCTGAAGGACAGCTCAGAACTCCCCCACCTGTGGCCCCCTCCCCAGCTTCCAGAGCCTGCTTTCAGGTGCCTCAGCTGTGCCAGGGACCCTCTTCTTGAGTTGGCAGGCCCCTGTCCCTCTCTGTACCCGGTCAAACAGTGGCATGAGGCTAGGGGCTGCTGGAGGGCAAACACCCAAGCATGGAGGGTTGTGGGCAGGAGGTGAGACCCCCCAGGACAGGCGCAGCCAGCTCTGCTCCTGTGTTTTGAGCCCAGCACCCACCCGGCCCTGGGCAGCCACGAGAAGAGAGCTCCCTGATGTCTACGCAGAATCAGCCAGCAGCCGTGGCTGTGTGTGTGTGTTTTACCATTTTCCTTGATTCTCCAACTTGGAGGAGCTCAGCTTACAAACTGTGGAAAGTTCAGGAAAGTTTAAATAAGCAGGACGAGGGAGGGCCTGGCCCGAGGGGGCTGCGGCTGCCCTGGCAGGCGTCCCTCCCGCAGACAGGCCTGTGTCTCCCCCCGCACCGCCGCCTGCCCAGTGGGCGGGTGCCCAGGCCAGCCACGGGCTTGGCCTCAGGGCGGTGGAGACAGCTGAGCTGTCGCGGCTGAAACTGTGGCCATGCCGCTAGGGGACAGGTGGTGGCTTCTCCGTGGTTGCCGCTGAAAGGACCGGCGTTTTTTCTTTTACTTGATGTGAAAACCACCTGCCAGGCCTGGGCCCTGGTGGGTGGAGCTATCACAGCCGCTGCCAAGTGTTCGCCCTGTGGTGTATCAAGTGCATCAAGGCAGTGGACGTCAGCCAGCTGCAGGTGAAAGATGATGCCAGGGTCCCCCCTGACCCCCGAGACCTGGGAGGCAGCCCCCCGGACTGGGAGTGTGGAGCTCAGGGAAGCCCAGGGCTTGTCTGCCTGGCCTGCTCACTCAACTCCTGTTCCCAGTGAGGGATTTGTATCAAGAAGTATAAAGAACTCTTAACAACTCAACGATAAAAGGACAGGGGTTCCAGGGTGGTCCAGTGGTCAGGACTCAGGATTTTTCATTGCTGGGGCCCAGGTTCAGTCCCTGGTCAGGGAACTAAAATCCTGCAACCGTGTGGTGCAGCCAGGCAAACAAACAAAAACAATAAAAGGACAAATAACCCAACTTTAAAACCAGCGAAGACTATAAACAGACATCCTCTAGAGAAGATGTGTAAATGGCCATCCGTCACTAGTCAAAACCACAATGAGATGCCACTTCTCACCCACTGAGATGGCTGTAATCAAAAGACAGGCAATAAGGGGTGTTGCTGAGGATGGAGAGGAACTGGGGCCCTCATATGCTGCCGGTAGGACTGTAAGATGCTGCAGCCGCTGTGGAAAATAGCCTAGCCACGTGTTGAAAAGTTAAACAAAGAGTTACTATAAAGGAACCTCCCTGGTGGCCCAGTGGTTAAGACTCTGTGTTCCCACTGCAGGGGGTGCAGGTTCCAGCCCTGATCCAGGAACTAAGATCCCACATACTGTGCCATGTGCAGCCAAGAAGTAAAAAAAAAAAAAAAAAAAATACTATGTAACCCAACAGTTCTACCTCTAAAAAATGAAAAGACACATCCGCACAACAATTTGTGCAGAATGTTTGTAGCAGCATTATTCATGTTGCTGTTGCTGTTTAGTTACCAGTCCTATCCGACTCTCTGTGACCCCATGGACCGTAGGTGACCCCATGGACCATAGCCCGCCAGGCTCCTCTGTCCATGGGATTTCCCAGGGAAGAATACTGGAGTGGGTTGCCATTTCCTTCTCCAGGGGATTTTCCTGACCCAGGGATAGAACCCATGTCTCCTGCTTTGGCAGGAGGATTCTTTACCACTGAATCACCTGGCAAGCGTTATTCATAATAGCCTCTAAATGGAAACAACTCAAATGCTCACCAATTGATGAATGGATGAAGGTGGAAATGTAGTCTAGCTATTCAAGGGAATATTATTTGGCCATAAAAAGGAATGACATTGATTCATGCTACAGCATGAATGAATCTTTAAGAAAAAAAAAAAAATCATGCTAAGTGAAAAGAACCAGACACAAAAGGTCACTTGCTGTCTGACTCCATTTGTGTGAAATGCCCAAAACTGGCAAATTCACAGAGACAGAAGTAGATTAGTAGTTACCAGGCGCTGGGAGTAGGAGAAATGGAGAGTGACTGCTAGTGGGTACAGAGTTTCTTTGGGGGATGATGGAGTTGTTCTGGAATTAGATAGTGGTCGTGGTTGCCCAATTCTATAAATATGCTAAAAACTACTGAACTGTACACTTCAAAAGGGTCAATTTTATGGTATGTGAGTTATATCTCAATAAAGCCTTTTTTTCAAAAAAATGAAAATTATCTCAATAAAGCTATTTTTTTTTAATTATAAAATGTCCCACACCTCAGTCTATCTCACATGCCTCCCCCCAGGAGCTGGCTTCATCACCTGTCCAGGCCCTAGCCCCTCCCAAGCTTCCAGCCTGGAACAAGGGTAGGTTACCAGGTAGTGAATGCCTTGATGTGGGCACAGGACCCTGCTTCATCCAAGCCCACTGGTGCCTGGCTCAGGCCCTTTGCTCTAGCTATTCCTTCTTCCTGAAACACTCTTCCCCTCACCTCTTCCTGTTCATCCTCTGGATCTCAGTTCAGACGTCTGGTCCCTAGAGAGGCCTTGTTCATGCGTGCCTGCTAAGTCACTTCAGTTGTGTCCGACTCTTTGCGACACTATGGACCTCAGCCTGCCAGGCTCCTCTGTCCGTGGGATTCTCCAGGCAAGAATAGTTGAGTGGGATTCCGTGCTCTCCTCCAGGGAACCTTCCCCAGCCCAGGGATTGAACCCCCACCTGTTAGCTCCCCTGGACTAACAAATGGGTTCTTTACCACTAGTGCCACCCAGGAAGCTCGAGAGAGGTCTTGAAAGTGAAAGTGAAAGTTGCTCAGTCATGTCTGACTCTTTGCGACCCCACGGAGTCCATGGAATTCTCTAGGTCAGAATACTGGAGTTGGTAGCCTATCCCTTCTCCAGCAGAACTTCCTGACCCAAGAATCAAACCAGGGTCTCCTGCGTTGCAGGTGGATTCTTTACCAACTGAGCTGCTAGAGGCCTTACTTGTTCCCAGACCCTGTGACTGAGTCTCTCCTCTCATATAATTCCCAACCTTCAATGCATGCCTGGTGCCAGCCTGGAGTAGGCGCACAATAAACCTTAGCCAAATGAGTGAAGCAGGGACAAGAAGTTCAGACTGAGGTTGGGAAGCATTGGCTGCAGCAAGGGGAGCAGGTAGCTGAGGAAGGCCTGTGCTGGGTGGGCTTTTCTCGAGCCAAAGGGAAACCGTGAGGAGGAGGAGGAGGGTGGCCTTTCTAAACTCAGGTTCTAGAAAGATAGATCTCTTTGACTCTTCTGTAGGGATAGCCCAGCAGTACAAGGCTGGAGGCATAAGGCCACGAGGAGGCCATGGCCTTGGTCCAGGCCCGAAGAGGCAGGGCCCAGCCTGGGGCGGTAGGTACCGAGGAGGAACACCCCGGGGAAGAATTTGGGAGCCAACCTCAAAGTGACTTGGCGATGGCACCAGTGCAGGGGTGTGGGTCCCGGGTGGCCCCAGGTACTGGAGGTCCAGAGGGTCAGGTGAGGACAAGGACTTTCCCAAGGAGAGGGCAGTGCCGTAGGAGCCTGTCTGGTGTGACGTGATCAGAAATGGTGGGACCCCAGCAAGCAGCAGCCCCCGCCGTTTACCAGATCTATACAGTTACCCCTGTTCCCGTGTCCATCCCTCTGACCCCTCATTCTCCTGGGTCAGGTCTCTGCGTCCCTACTGATCAAGGTCACGGCCTCCTCATTGGTCTCCCTGACTCAGGCCATTCGCCTTTTCTCGTTCGTCCTCTGTGGGGCCTCCAGCACAGAGTGGGTCATTCCCCAGCTCAGAAACCCCCCGTGGCCCACCCCCCGCCACTGACCTCAGAGCAAAAAGTCCAGATGCTGCCCCAGGGCCTATGAGCCCCTCCGTGATGGGGCCGCACTCCCGTGCCTCCACCCCAAGTACCCTCTCCCCCTCTGTGCCTGGGTATAAAGACCACCTCCTTGGGATGCCCCCCACCCCCACCCCAAGACCCCAGCCCTGAGTCTTGGCAGCATGGAAGCCTCAATTTTGCTCGTCTTTTCTGGAACACAAACCAGGAGGCATGACCTGACCAAAGCTTTTTAGTGACGGCGACCTGGTATGAAATGACTTAGAAATGTTGACTGGTCAGATGATGTGTGGTCACAAACGTGTTGAGTGACCTGAAGTTGGACGGAAGTAAGAGTGTTCTCTGGTCTTATTCTACCGCGTGGAGCAGTTGCTTCAGACCTGGATGTGAAAACGTCAATCCACCAGAGCAGAAAGTGGTCGGCTGGGTTCATGGACACAGCCCCAGGGTGTGGGACCATGCCTGGGTAGCTGGGGTGCTTGAGGTGGGGCTGGATGGGTGAGAGAAAGGAGGGAGGGTGGACGGGGAGGGCAAGTGGATGGATAAGTGGATGGCCAGGAAGCATACGTGCAGAGGGTTCATATTGGCCATGGACCATCTCAAGCCCAGCCTGCAGTCCAGAGCACAGAGAAGGTGCCCCTTCCTAGGGCTGGGCTGGGATCCATGTAGCCCCCATGGGCACATAAAATCCCAGCTTCCTAATCCCCCAGGGGCTGCCAAGCTAGAGACCCCTCTTGGCCATGGGCATTTGATTGTTCAGGGCTCAGCCACCCCCACCCCTCACGGCCTCTCTGGCCTCCCTTCCGAGCCTCTAGGCCCAGCCAGCCTTTCCAGCGATTTGACCAGAACTCTCTAGAGCCATCCTTGACACCTCTGCTCGCTCATGCGCACTCTCTCCTTCTCTCGCTCTCCCACATCCAATCCATCAGCAAATCCTGTTAGATTATTTTCAACAGCCTCCTATCTGTCTCCCTGGTGCTGCCCTCGCCCCTCCCCCAGTCTGTTCTCCACTCAGCAGCCAGAGGGATCCTTTTAAATGGTGAGTCCAGGAGTCCTCACCATCTGGCCCCCATTTCCTCTCTGAGCTCATCTGCTACCAGCTCCCCCCACCCCATCCGCCCCACTCCCTCCAGCCACGCGGGCCTCCTTGCTATTCCTCGGCCGTGCCAGGCACGCTCCCGGCTCCGGCCCTTTGCCCTGGCTGATCCCTCTGGCTGGAACACTCTCCCCCAGAGAGCCATCTGACTCACCTCCTCACCTCCTTGCCAGCTTTGCTCAAATGTCACTTTCTCAATTAGACCTTCCTTGGACGCCTCATTTATACATGAAAAAGGCATCCACCCCTTGTTTCCCTTTCCTGTTTTATTTTTCTTTTTAGTGCTTATCACTCTGGGCCACAATATATTTTACTCTTTTTTTTTTTTTTTTCCCTGAGAAACGCTTTAGTCTGTTTATTTATAGGCTGTTGCTGCAAGTGGGCTTTCTTTAGTTGCGGCGAGCGGGGGCTACACTCCAGATGTGGTACACAGGCTTCTGGTTGTGGTGGCTTCTTTTGTTGCAGAGCACGGGCTGTAGGACACGCAGGCTTCAGTAGTTGTGGCTCTCGGGCTCTAGAGCACAGGTTCCATAGTTAGGGCACACGGCTTAGTTGCCCCATGGCATGTGGGATCTTCCCGGACCGGGAATTGAACCAGTGTCCCCGGCATTGGCAGGCAGAGTCTTAACCCCTGGACTCCCAGGGAAGTCCTGTCTTACTTCTTTATTATGTTTTTGGTCTTTATTGCTCCATTTGAAAGTGATCTCCATGAGGGCAGGGGTCTTGCCTGCTGCCTCATGCCCAGCACTGAGCAGGGGGTCTGCAGGGCGCAGATGAGGG